GCATCTGTATCACATGATGAACTTCACTCATGTACCACGCACAGAACCTCTCCTAGAGTAATCTGGTGCAGCCTACCAGCTCCCTGCACATTGATGCGTTACACCACAACTCTCCATTGAATTGCAGGGAACTCCTTCCTGATGACTCATCTGTTCACTTCTTGCTTTCGTTTGGAGATGTAGGAACTATGTAGCAAAATGCATCTGTATCACATGATGAACTTCACTCATGTACCACGCACAGAACCTCTCCTAGAGTAATCTGGTGCAGCCTACCAGCTCCCTGCACATTGATGCGTTACACCACAACTCTCCATTGAATTGCAGGGAACTCCTTCCTGATGACTCATCTGTTCACTTTTGTCTAATTTTTTTTTTTTTGGCAAGATGATTAGTTTTCACTTGAAAAGTGCTTCAGGACACAACTTACCTTTAGCTACTTTCAAATTCTGGGTGCCAGGCACCTCCAAACCCTCCAGGCAACTACTTGACCATAACAACACATCACTGAAAGAGGAAAACCTACCCATACTTCCAAGCAAAAACATTTTTTTTAATCCAAGTACTGTAAATATTCTTGAAAAATTTTGGATGTACAGGAACAGCATAGGAAAAACACAAACAGCAGTAAAAAGGCATTTTAGAAGGTGGCCACACAAAGCAATGATGCCTACTCCAACTGTTTTTTAAAACTTAACTTGTATGTGCCAAGATTCAGTAAGAAGCTTGCAATATCAAATAAATCACACAGTTATTACATAGTATTTCAAGTGTGTATCTATTGTCCTGGTCTGAGCGAAACAGAACAAATTCTGCTTGGTGGTTTTATGATTTTATGTTACAGTGTCTGCTTCTAAAAGTGACAGCACTTGATGTTTACAGTTGCTGCCAGGGATTGGGATGCAGAAAGGTTCTTGCTTATACTCACTCCTATAGTAATCAAGGTCATCACTAAATCTTGTGCCCCATGTTGGGGTGCTGTCAAGTGAAAGAGTCATAAGCAAAAGGTCACACCTGTGGGGAGGAGTGAGCAGGAGAGGAGACCTAAATCTGACCAATGAAGTATTCTTTTCTGTTCCATATATGTCATATTCAGCATACAGCTGAGGGATCACAAACGTTAAGCCGTCTTCTTCGACAGCTGGCATCTTGTGGGATACTTAGAGGATAATGGACATGTTTTGAACAATCCAGATGACCTGGTTTTAGACAAGTTTTAGGCCTCGCTTGACAAGAGTTTGTGAAGGACGTTGTGAAGGTCACTTGCAGTGGGAAATATGCTGAAGCAACCACAAACAACGAGCTGTGACTGGTGTATGTGACTGAAAACAGAAGCAAACCCAAGATGCAGGTGGGGAGAAACAGGAGCATCATCAGCAGTGAAGAGTGAATCAGCAAAAGGAAAACAGCACGTGAACAGCAGCATGGACTGCGTGTGCTTGTTGTTAATAGCCACTCAATAGAGAGCACTTAGAAAACAAGGATGTTGTGAACTGTGTATTAGTCAGGTGTGTGTGTTAATAAAGCGGTATTTGCTTGATCATACTGATCGTCAGCAGTATCTGTGACTTCCGCGTCAACAGCATCTGAGGAAGACAACTCCATCTGTTCTTCTGCCTTTGATCCTGATCCAGATTTGTGAGTTTATGAATCCAGCTCCTGCATCTGGTTCCCATCTGTCACTGGCACTTTCCCAGTGCCTACCTGCCCTGCAGTGTTGATGGTAACTCACCAGGGAGTTCTGTTATTGGTTTTGCAATTTGTATATATTTAATTATTTTCTTATTAGTATTATTATTATGGTTTCATTACAGCTGTTTTAGCTTTCCAATCAATACATGTCTCTCTTCCTTATTTCCTTCCCCTTCTGGAAAGGGAGGGATTAACAGAGAGCACCTGTCATTCCTTTAGCAGCCAGACTAGCCCTAACCCTTGACACACATCATTAGACAACACTAATTGGACGCACCTTTCTAGCTCATCCCATATTAACCTTGTATTTGTGAAAAGATGCAGTAGGTGTCAGTCACTCCCAGCATCTGTGGTTATATACTTTCAATTCCACTCTAATAGGAACAGATTTCTGAATACTACTGCCTGCATGGCTAATATGCTGAGCAAAGAGCCAGTAACCTCAGCGTCTTCCTGCAACTTGACGTTTTTCCAGTGACCTAAAAGCACAGGTAATTATGAACAGCAGTGGACTCACCCACTTCATGATATACAGCAATAGAAGTGACAATCAAGTGTAGATTAATTGTAATATGTTAAAATTGTAATTGTTGATTAAGTGTAAATTAATTGTAGATTAATTGTAATATGTTAAAATACAAGTTGACTGCTTAAGTAATTATTACAAGTTTTTTGAAGAATGCTGCTCCCCACACACATACAAATAAAACAGTCAGACCACATTCATATATTAATTTTTATTTTTCCCACACAATATTCACAGGGTCTGCTTTTTATCTTATTCAAACTAAACTTTTTTTCTTCCCCCAAAACTAAAACAAGAAGCAACATTTCAGAACATGAAAAGAAGTTCTGTAAACATAAAACATCCAAGGAATAGATGAAGCCCAGGGCCTTTAGCAGTTAAAAAGTTATATCCCCTTTTAACGCAGGGCATTTACTTGTGTATCACACCACTACCCAAACTGTTCTTTTCATATATTAAAAAGATGCAGCTTTAACCAAAAGTCACAATGCATTTCTTCACCCATTGCGTGTCTGCAAGTGTTTCATTATACCTTATTCAGTCACATACCTTAAAAATTATATACAGTTATGTTTAAACATGTGTCTTTGTGCCATGTTTTTAATAACACAAAAATAAAGGCATTTTTCAGCTATTGCCGCATATTATGCAGCAGGATACCAGAGGATCGGTTCAGATACTTAACTTTGATGAAAAAGTCAAGTCCACTAAACCTCCGCAGTGGGAGTAATATTGAGCTTAACAGTCCCACTTCACACATTCAAACATTACGAAAGAGTAGAGATCTGCACATGATGGCCAATCTTTACGTGTTTTACTTCACTGTTTGCCAATTTTGACAGCACACAGGACAACTCAGTGAAAAAAACCCAACGTGTCTCAACCTTTAAAACAAATGCTTTTGTTGTGCTTAAAGCTACAGAAGTGATATTTGAACTACAGAAGGTAATAGTGAACATTATTTAAATTAAACCACGCTTTTTGTCGGACACTTGCACCCAAGGAGTACCACTTGCTTCATTACTGTGTGCAATGCAGCACAAAAAGTACTGAGCATCAGTTGCTGAAACACAAGAATAAAGCATATAGGTACAATCAAGAATGCTTTGTGCAGGCACAGATTTGTATCATAAGAACAAAGTACTACTTTTTTGTTTTCTGATCTTTGTAAGTGACTAATTCTGGGAAGCTTGCATCCCAAAATGCAACTGGAGTATTTAAAATTCAGTACAGGATAGAAAATCATTACACATAATCCTGAATTTTACAGACATTAATCTTTTTAATACCCCTGCGACATTTTAAATAATTCTTGAACTGTTTTGGTGTTTTTGATCGGTTTCTCAGAGAGCAGTCGTTCAGCTGACAATAGAAAGTAGGAGCACTTTTGGTTATTTTTTTCAGTCGCCACAAGATTTTAAAATCAGGTCATCTTAGATCAATTCTTCAGACTGCTCCAGTGTCACCTGTGCATGCTATTTCAAATTTTTGCTACAAAGAATACAGGCAATTAATCGGAGTTTAGCATTCTTTCTCTCCTTGCTGAGAACTTGTTCAAGAAGGATCTTCCAAATTAGCCAGTAATATCACAAACTTTTTCACCTCAGTTTAGCTTGTATGCATTTAGGAATTGGACAGTCTTATTCCTCCAGAGTCATTTGATGAATTTTTTTTGCCTTATTATGACCAGCTCATTCAAGCTGCTTGTATGTACAAACATTTACTACCTTCACATCCAAATAAAACAAGAGTTTACAGTACATAAGCTACTAAAGACAGAAGCAGTGGAAATGCAAATGCAATTATAACTATCAAAAAGGTAACGTGAAATATTTAAAACATTTCTTGACCACTAGCAAAAAAGAGTGGCAATTAGATGCACAAGGCCATCATGCATCAGTGCACCAGACAGAGGAAAGTAAAATTTACAGCACTTGTGCAATGCGGTATTAGTATCAAATTGGCCTCTTAACAGGAAAACAATGTCATAAAAGTTTTTTATCTGCCTAACACGTAATGTAATCTCATCCAGTGCTGGCGCTGTGCTGCTTAACAAACCAAGCTACTTCTGACCTTGAATTCAAAAAGCAGCAGCAGCATATACGAGTAAAGAAACTACAATTTTCGTGACAAAGTTGCAATATTCCCTATTTTATTGCATGTTTCTTAAATAAACTTGGGGGATTTGGATTTCTGAATACAGAAAATGGATTTCCTGAGTAGTCTCATCCTACAATTTGTACAGTAAAACACTGTGAAAGTTGAAATGCATTTATTCTAATAGAGAAGAGCGTATGCTTAAGCAAATATACACAAGTGTAAAATTTAGCAAGTTTTGAAAATGAAGACTTAACAGGCTGATGGAGAAATTGCACCATGGTATAGTGTCAAGCTTGCAAAGTTTTACAGACAAGCAAGGGGTAGCACTGCAGGGTTCTTTAACAGCAAACCAGAACAGTGCACTACAGTTAATTGTTGTTTTATAATCCAGTACATTCAGCCTGAAAACTAAAATCGAATCGAATTTTCATAAATATTGTCTCTTGTATGAGACAATATACTGCTGGGTTATTTTCAAGTGTTATACCGCAAACAGGTCATCTTACTGGTAAAGATCAGTCTCAGTATGGTTTAAAACCAGTAGAAATAAAGAGAGGCTGGTCACTGCTGGATATTTAAAACATAAACCAGAAAACAAAGTATTTTTAAAATATTTCAGATCATGTGTCCCTTTCGCAACTTTTTGGGTCCATTTTGTGATTTTTGAGGGATGAAATATACACATTTGAGTATTGCATATATTCAGGTCCTTTGTACCTACAATTAACTGGAGAATAGTTAAATTTTTACAGCTGAGTAGCACACAACGACCTGAAGCATTTACCACTACCAGTTATGATCCAACACGGGTTGTTGTGGTTCTTTTATCCGAGAAGAAGCTTTTCAGGAGAAATACCTGCCCGATACTAACAACAAGAAGAATGATTGCTTCCCCTATTGACCAGTAGGCCACCCTCGTGTTCAAATCCTCCGCTCTGCTGCGTCCCTGTGCCTCCCTCAAGCGGAAGTGAGTCTGATAATCGATGACAGACTTCAAAGCTTCATGAATTGAAACACATGCAGATTCCATCTAGAGAAGCAAACAAATACACACCACTGAATTAAGAACTCTTCTAGAGCTTTTTCTGCCAAGTTTTGTGCTTCGGTATTAAAAATTAGGATTCATGTAACTTTGCAAGCTAAGTATTACGTCAGTCTATTGTCAGACCCCAATACTGTAAATACAGTAAAATTCAACTTACATTGGTCAAACTCTACACACAGGAACGTGATACTTACATACAGAAGTGTGTAAAACTGTAGATCTAATAAAAAGCAAAGTGCTTTGAGAACAATTAAAGGAATCTGAAATTCATGAACATTTGTGTTTACAATGAACATTAAAAACACTTTCAAAATGCCAGTGATCCCGCACTTCTTAATCCCACAAATATCAGAAAAACAAGAAGTTGCTTACAACATTAAGATGCACACAGCATACATTAAACACTTCTGTTTCACAAGTACAACATTCTTCATTGCATAATTCTCACTCAAGTTGTAAAACATCCTAAAATCTACATTACTGAATTCAGTACGTTCTTCTGGCATGAGACCCTTCTCTAAGTCATGTGTGGAAAAAGTGGTTAAGGAAAAGTCTGTTACCTTTCAATGTTCCTGAATACTCCACAAAATAATCATAACAAACACTTAAATCAATGAACTTCATTGTAATTTTTCGTTTTTTAAAAGAACTATTACCAGTTTACCAAGCCCTATATAACTTTTCACAGGAACTTCTTCCACTTCCAGCTTATCTTCTGTAACTGAAAGTCAGTACTCCCTCACTGTGTTTTTGATTATCAAGAGATTAATCAATATATCTTTAAAATACTTCATTTGTAGTCATAATTTGTTTTTCTGCTTTGCAGCTTAAAATTACTTTTTCCCGAAGACCAAACAGCAGAAACTATTGTAAAAGGCAATGTTTAACACCCTGATAGCCTCACTGTCAGTTACTTGTATCTGTGACTAACCATCTTTTCAAACTAATGATTTTCAAGATGTGTCTGAACAAGTTCAAACCAAGCTCTGCCATTGGTTGCGCTGACAAATTATAGCTCTCCTAGCCTGCACAAAGGATTTAAACATGAGGTCACTCTGGTTTTAGAGATTTACCTTCTACTGCCTGTGTGAAAGGCTGCCCTAATTCAGCCACGCTAAAAGCATCAAGAAAACTGCAACTTCTTCCCAAAGATGTGTTGTACTCTGAAAATTAACTTGCCCTTTCCCAACTACCTTTAGTTGCATTGTGTGTGCTACAACCCAGTGATAAATTATTTTCTTGTCTCCTTCCACACCCTGCAAGGGGCTGCAGAGATGCCATACCGAGGAACTGCATGTTCTGCATTCTGAAAATCCCTCTGCTGATGCCAAGAAAGCAGAAGAAAAACCAGACGCAACAGAACATGCAGACTGAACATCATGAAGACTAAAGCAAGGCAAAGAGATGGGAAGATACAGAAGCAAGAATCAGAACACAAAATAAAGCAGATAGAAGAGTGGTAATAAGAAACAGGCAAGAGCTGTAGTTGAATTCACAGCAAGTCATCACTCATAACACATCTCAGCCTCTGCAGACTTACGTGAGGCAAATTAAATGATACTGGCATTTGGGAAGCAGTATTTATACTGTTCAGACCAGACTAGCAAAATAGCAACCACGTCCTGCATCATTTAATGGTTGATTGATGAAAGGTTTGGTGATGGTTATAATGTAAGGACATGAGTGAGAATTCAAGGAGCAAGTGTTCTAAGGTACGTGTTGACAGATTTAGCTCAGGAAGGGGTGCTGCAAAATTGCAAAATCCAAAAAAAATACTAATGAACTGTCATTTTACAATGTCTTGCAAAGGACAAATATCTAGACGCCAGCCAAATACAGCTGATTTTGTTAATCTGTTTATTTTCATAAATTTTTCTTTCCATTTAAAAAATAGTAGTTACATGAGAGGTCACCGTAAGTCCTCCCGTCACAGAAGACTACCGTTTTAAATATAAAATCAATTCTCAAAGTTTCTCCAAAGTTTGGAAATTTTTAAACCCCTGATCCACCAATATTTACAGTTTGTGAAATCCACACTTCAAGAGCCATACAACCATGGCATTAAAATTGAAACAAAAACCAGTGGCCTAGAGTTTAAGTTACTACACTAATTTTCTCTTAAGCATTTGGCAATTCCTTCTCAGCTCTGTTGTGTGTTCTATAAATCCTATCTGCAGCAAGCTTATTTGTAGTAATTCAGTTTACTTTAAAAGCTCCCATCCACTGATTCTCAAAAATGCTATAGGTATCTAATGCAGCTGAACTTGAAAAAAACTTACTTGGGTAAGTGCAGTTACTCTGTTCTCACTAGGAAACAGTGGTGGATCTTCTCCAACCTGGAAATCAAAGTACACCGTTTTGTGTGTGAAAGTAGAGAATTCATTGCTGAAGCAGAATTTGTATGTTCCATTTCTGGATGCAGTAAATGTGAAGCTATCGTATTGTTTCTTCATCTCTTTGTACAATACAAGGCCATCAGGATCTTCCAACCGACAATCAACGTCATAATGACCTCCAGTGATCACCTGAAAAAAAAACAAACCACGAGAGATTGTCTTTTTAACAGAATATTTATAGTTTTCTGCTAAGAAGTATGATTTGTCAAGTGGCACTGCACTGTTAGCTTTAAAAAAGTCTTAAAATATAGTTTATTAATGTGAAAATCTTTCATAGCAAGTCTGCAGAACTAGTTTCTTAGGGAAGGCACACAGAACATTATTCAAACTACTTTAGATTCAACATATGGAATCCCAGCTGTATTTTCGAATGGTTTATGAGAACAGTTCCAGTTACTTTGCTACAAATAATTGTAGAACAGCAAAGACTAGAGTAGATGAAACCTGAGGGGGCAGCAAAGATTACCGCTACGAATCAACCATTTGCTGTACCCACAAGTCCACCATGGAAACAATTCTGCTGGCTGAGATGGAAAATGTGCAGCAAGGCAGCTCTTTTCTGTAAGGCCAAAAGAACTACTAGATCAGCTCAAGCCACTTTGGGCCGCAGGAATGGGGTCTGACCAGTAGAACAGGTATTTCAACCTGGGTTCTCTTCAGGAGTGCTCCTGAACAATGCAGTGTTTGGGAGGCAGGACTGCTGCCTTCTTCCAGCCGCAGCACCTCTTCCCAAAATCAGTACATCCAGATAATGCCCACAAGCGATTCGGAACTTCACATGATTGTCTCAAGGTTTTTGTCAGGCTTTAACTGCTGCTGGTTACAGCACACCGCTCTGTAGACTAGCTATCCCACCTCTAGAGAAAGACTAATCAGTAGCTTCAGTATTCACAGCTTGGTGTTCTGATGACTCTTAGACCAGTAAGTTTACAGTTAATCTTGGCTCTGAACTTTTTGATTTTAAGAAAAAGCATGCTGAAGGAGGAAGATAACTATATCTAAAAGCATAAGTACAGAAATCACTGAAATATTTTCGTATCTCAGTATATGCACTTCAGTTTACATAGTACTATTTAAACTCATATCAGTTTATCTAGGTGGGTTATTTACATTGTAATGTTAATGGTACGAGGCATCTGAACAGCAGCTGCTGAGCAAACAGGAAGTTTTAAAATATTCAGTTGGCAAGCAATATCTTCATAGTTTTTTAAAAATGTGATGACAGGATACAGTAAGAAAAAAAAATGCATTTGTGGATGCCTGGATCTCTGGATGTCTCTCCCTGGACATCTGCCTCTAGTTTTGTTTTTCATACAGAAGTGCTTACCTGGTTGGAAAGAAAAGCAAAAACGCTTTTGAAAAGATGGTTCGTTTTTGAAGTACGATCTCAAATTTGACAGAGGTGTGCTTTTTACCAATTACAAGAAAGTCATTCTTTTTCAGTTATATTACACACCCTGGAAGAGCCAGTTAATGTACAGACATTAAAAAAAAATTGCCAGATCTTTCAAGTTCCTCCAGGATTACTTTTCACAGAGCTTGCTTGAGTCTCCTCTCGGCTCTGAATACACACTACACTGCCAAAGGACACGCAGACAGCACTTCAGTTTGCCAGCAGCTGGTCAAATCCAGACTCTCCTTTTAACAATGCTACTCCTGTTCTGATTACTGACAAAAGTGACAGCAGCAGGCTTATCTCTCCATCAACCTCCACTTTAAAACAGGAGTGAAAGTACTGCACAGAAAAGACCACACCAAAAATAACTGGCAGAGATAAGAAACATTTGTGTAGCAAAAAAAAGATATCCAAGAACTAGAACATTTGGGACAGAGTAACAAGGCCCAATACTTAGCAGCAACATTCCTCAAAATGCTACAGATGGGACAGCAGCCGGGAATGAAAAAGCACACATGACTTCAGTAGCAAAGCTGCACTATAGAAGCACATAGCCCCTTAAAAAGCCCCCAAAGGTAACTCTGATTCCTATTGTGAAGGATGATTTCTCTCCCATTCTGCTGCTGTGCTGTCAGTGACCTCACCAGCTGAGGTGACAGGCTGACACTACTGACACACTCAGAGGCACCAAAACTGTCAGAGTGTTGTCCTCTACACATCTCACAGCTGAACGCTGTGCTCCATTGTGATGGCTGCAAGTTTAAACTGCTAGAAACAGGGACAAGTGAGAAAAACTGTGCAGCCTCACTTAACACTTGCATTTTAACCACAGCCTTCAATAAGATGTCAGCTGCCCACAACTTCTATTTTTCTGTAAGGCTGTCTCACTATATGCCCGGGACACTCTGTTGGTAGTGTACACCTCCACCATCGCCGTCTTACTCTTTGCTACATGACCCCAAACTGAACCATACTCTGAAATTAGAGAGTTAGCTCCACGAACCACTGAGACGTTACATTTGCAGCACCCTGCGGGGAGTATTCCCACGCTGTTCACCATTGCCAGTGTCCAGGGCCAACTTCACAGGTCTGGCTCAGCTCTGGACCGAGCCCGCCCCG